CCTCAGGTAATCCACCCACCTTGGCCTCCCAAAGTGCTGGGATTATAGGTCTGAGCCACCACGCCCTGACCCCACCTCTGCCTCTCAAGAGTGCTGGGATTAGCCAGGCGCGGTGGCTCAAGCCTGTAATCCCAGCACTTTGGGAGGCCGAGGCCAGTGGATCACGAGGTCGAGAGTTCGAGACCATCCTGGTCGACACGGTGAAACCCCGTCTCTACTAAAAATACAAAAAATCAGCGGGGCATGGTGGCGCATGCCTGTAATCCCAGCTACTCAGGAGGCTGAGGCAGGAGAATTGCCTGAACCTGGGAGGCAGAGGCTGCGGTGAGCCGAGATCGCGCCATTGCACTCCAGCCTGGGTAACAAGAGCGAAACTCGGTCTCAAAAAAAAAAAAAAAAAAAAAAAAAGAGTGCTGGGATTACAGGCATGAGCCACTCCGTCTGGCCTCTTGCTGCTTTTTAATTTTTTTGAAAAAACTATGGAACGCTTCACGAATTTGCGTGTCATCCTTGTGCAGGGGCCATGCTAATCTTCTCTGTATTCTTCCAGTTTTAGTATCTGTGCTGCCGAAGCACGCACTCTTGCTGCTTATTTATTTATTTATTTATTTTTATTTTTATTTTTTGAGACGGAGTTTCGCTCTTGTTACCCAGGCTGGAGTGCAATGGCGCAATCTCAGCTCACCGCAACCTCCGCCTCCTGGGTTCAGGCAATTCTCCTGCCTCAGCCTCCCAAGTAGCTGGGATTACAGGCACGCGCCACCATGCCCAGCTAATTTTTTGTATTTTTAGTAGAGATGGGGGTTTCACCATGTTGACCAGGATGGTCTCGATCTCTCGACCTCGTGATCCACCCGCCTCAGCCTCCCAAAGTGCTGGGATTACAGGCTTGAGCCACCGCGCCCGGCCCTCTTGCTGCTTTTTTAAACTGTTGATGTTGACCCAGCTTTTTTGAAAGTTTTTTTTTTTTTTTTTTTTTTGAGACAGTTTTGCTTTGTGGCCCACGCTGGAGTGCAGTGGTGCGATCTCAGCTCACTGCAACCTCCATCTCCCAGGTTCAAGCAGTTCTCCTGCCTCAGCCTCTCCAGTAGTTGGGACTACGGGCATGCACCACCACGCCTGGCTAATTTTGTATTTTTAGTAGAGCTGGGGTTTCACCATGTTGATCAGGCTGCTCTCGAATTCCTGATCTTATGATCAGCTCCCCTTGGCCTCCCAAAGTGTTGGGATTACAAGCGTGAGCCATGGCGCCTGGCCAGAAATTTTTTTTTTGTAGAGATGGGGTCTTGTGGTGTTACCCAGGCTGAGGAATTCCTAGGTCAAGGAATCCTCCTGCCTCAGCCTCCTGAAGTACTGGGATTACAGGTGTGCACCTCTGTGATCAGCCTGATACATATTTTAATAAAAAGAAATACATATATTCCTTTTTTGAAGGGAGAAGAAAAAGCTATTTGTGGCTAGCCTGCCACTTACAATGTAAAATTCATGTCTGTGCTGTCTGCATTTCAAGATTAGCTCACAACTGCTGCAGCGACTTGCTAAATGTAAAACATCCCATGACAGTACTGTCTGTCAACACTGAGATGGAAATAAACCTCCATCAACCTGCTAGCAGATGGGTTACACGTGACAGTGCCAAGCTGTGCACATATCTGAAATTCCAGTCTTTGCCGTGATTACTTTACATTTTATTGTGACACGCCCATACTAACACAAAATATTGTGCCATTTCTTCCTTTTGACCATTTGTATAACCAGCAAAAAAAAAAAAAAGAGAGAGAATAGGCCAGGCATGGTGGCTCACACCTGTAATCCAAGCACTTTGGAGGCCAAGGCAGGTGGATCACCTGAGGTCGTGAGTTTACGACCAGCCTGAATTTAAAAAAAAAAAAAAAAAAAAGAATAGAGGCTGGGCTTGGTAGCTCATGCCTGTAATCTCAGCACTTTGGGAGGCTGAGGTGTGTGGATCAGGAGTTGGAGACCAGCCTGGCTAACATGGTGAAACTCTACCTCTATCAAAAACACAAAAAATTAGGCAGGCATAGTGGCTCATGCCGGTAATCCCAGCTATTCAGGAGGCTGAGACAGGAGAATCACCTAAACCTGGGAGGTGAAGGTTGTAGTGAGCTGAGATCATGCCACTGCACTCCAGCCTTGGCAACAGAGCAAGACTCAGTCTCAAAAAAAAAAAAAAGAGAGAGAATAGAGAATCAGGTCAGATTTTCCTGTGCTAACTGATCATCTGCTAGAAATGACACACGGTAACACAATTAAAGTTTAAGAAACATGAAAAATGACCTGGCACAGTGGCTCACACCGGTAATCCCAGCACTTTGGGAAGCTGAGGCAAGAGGACTGCTTGAGCCCAGGAGGTCAAGGCTGCAGTGAGTCGTGACCGAATCACTGCACCCCAGCCTGAATGATAGAGCAAGATCGTGTGTCAAAAAAACAAACAAACAAACAAACAAAGGAATAGAAAATATGAAGCAGGCCGGGCGCGGTGGCTCAAGCCTGTAATCCCAGCACTTTGGGAGGCCGAGGCGGGTGGATCACGAGGTCAAGAGATCGAGACCAGCCTGGTCAACATGGTGAAACCCCGTCTCTACTAAAAATACAAAAAATTAGCTGGGCATGGTGGCGTGTGCCTGTAATCCCAGCTACTCAGGAGGCTGAGGCAGGAGAATTGCCTGAACCCGGGAGGCGGAGGTTGCGGTGAGCCGAGATCGTGCCATTGCACTCCAGCCTGGGTAACAAGAGCGAAACTCCATCTCAAAAAAAAAAAAAAAAAAAAAAAAAAAAAAAGAAAATATGAAGCAATCTTTCATTTTGATGTATAAAAATTAGAGCCATTAACCAAGTGTTCCAGTTGTCTAAAATGAAGGAGCTATCGAGGGGAAATTTTCCCTCTAGTCTCTGAGGGTTTGATAACCGAGTCTCTAAACTAAGCTGACAGTAGACAGACTGGTAAGAGAAAAAGTATACAAATTTACCACGTGTACTAGGGCAACCCAGAATCCAGTGAGATCTGCAGCTCAGGAGCTCTGCCTTCAGGAGAACTGGTGGTGTCCTGTGGCAGTCTGCATGGGTATGGGCTGAGGTTCCTTGGTGCTCGTCTGGTGGTATCAGTTCTTCCTTACCTGCGGATGAGATTTCCAGGAAGCGGGTCAAGACAATTGAGTTCCTTTGGGATGATCTATCCTTATGTGGATAAGGGGAATTCAGAGAATGCCCCTCCCTGCCTTGGCAGGTCTCCATATGCCCTTGGATTGATGGCATACTAACGTGATAATCAGTGTACTCGTTATTAATCAGTATCCTAACATGGCATAATTTGGGTTGACATTTCTTGAACTCTTTCATTACTAACCAGCTCTTATAAACTAAAAGTGACTCAAGTGTTAAAGGACCTTTTACTTGAATATCCCCCAGGCTTTAAATGATCAAGAGTTGGTCACAGTTGTTAGTTGAGAAGGTGGCTGAGCAGGTCCCTGGAATTCGGTGTCAGCACATCACAGGATCAGGGAAGGCAGGACAAAGAGGGATTTTTATGTCTTAAAGGAAAGTACAAGGTGGGCGGGGACTCAGACAACACAGTAGCAAGCCTCTGGCTCAATGCTGGAGAGGAAGACAGCGGGAGATCCGGGCCAGGCTCCAGGTTTGCCTCCGTAAGCTGTGGGTCTGCGGAACCCGTTCGCTACTGGAAATGAGTCTGTCTGACTGCACGGGGTGGTTTCCATGCGTGTTGTGTTGATCTCCAGGGTTAGAACCAGAACCCATGAGGCCGCGGGAAATACCAGAGGGCCTGGGGCTGACCTAAAGTCCAGCGATCAAAATGCTCTGCGTTTTCAGGAAACTACTGTCACGATTTAATCTAAAAAACCTCATCTGTATTTTCGACCACAGTTTCCTTCCGTCGTCATTACTTGGCGAAGTCTCCACGCGCTCCCGTTCGCCGGGGAACTCAGGGTGACCGGGCTTCCCTAAATTGGGGAGCGGGGACTGGCGTCGCTTGTCTTCCCTGGCCTCTGCTTGGTTTCTTTTTCCTTCTCAAGCCGTCTGCCTTCCAAAGTGCGGGGATTACAGGCATGCGCCACGGCGCCTGGTGCTCTCACTGCCTTTTTGTTTTCAGCTTTGAGACCATTTTGCTTTTTTTTTTTTAAGAGGGGGTTTCACCATGTTGGCCAGGCTGGTCTCGAACTCCTGGCCTCAAGTGATCCGCCCGCCTCGGCCTCCCAAAGTGCTGGGATGACAGGTGTGAGCCACCGCGCCCGGCCTGACAGTTTTGCTCTTGTGGCCCAGGCAGGAGCGTAAGAGCGAAACAGCGGCTCACGGCAACCTCAGCCTCCCGGTTCAAGCGATTCTCCCGCTTCAGCCTCCCGAGTAGCTGGGAGGACAGGCGTGCGCCACCAAGCCCGGCTAAGTTTTGTATTTTTAGTGGAGACGGGGGTTTCATGATGTTGGCCAGGCTAGGCTCGAACTCGCGACCTTCGGCGATCTGCCAGCCTCGGCCTGTCCGAGTGCCGTGATTTCAGGCCCGAGCCGCCGCGCCCGCCTCTTGCTGCCGTGTTTAAACCGGTGATGTTGACCCGGCCTTTTTGGAAGCTTTGTTTTGTTTTTGTTATTTTGAGACAGAATTTCGCTCTGCGGCCCAGGCCGCAGTTCAGCGGCCGGGAGAGGCCGCGGGGCGGGGGCGGCGCCGGGAGGAAGGCGGAGGGCGCGACGCGTTCGCGGGCTCCTTCCCGCCGGGACCATCGAGCCCTTCCGGCGTCTTCTCGGCCTCCCTGGAGCAGGCCGCCCACTGGCTACGGCGCTTTCGGCACCTCTGGCTCCTCGGGTACCGGAGTCGCGGTCCCGAGCTCCGCCCCTCGCTCCCGCTTCCCGGCTTCCAAGTGGCTGCGGAAGGGCCTAGAACCTTCGCGAAGGTGGGGCGGGCGCGCCGACGCGGGGCCCGCGGTATGGGCAGTGGAAACTGCGCGTGCGCGGCGTCAGGACCGGGCGGAAGTTGACGTCGCTGTGCCGCCGCCGCGTGACGTATTTCCTGTTTGTTGTTGGAGAAAGGAGAGAAAGGAAAGCGCGAGGAGCCGCCGCCACCCGCGCAGCAGTGCTGGAGCCGTGAGGAGATTCGGGCCGGCACCCCCGCCTCCCCTGCGCCCCGCCGCCGACCGCCTTCGTCCTCGGTGAGAGTCTACTCCGAGGGTCAGGGGAGGTCGGCCGAGGGCCCCGCGCGCGGGCGGCAGACGGCGGACCCGACCCGGCGCCTGGCAACGGCGTGCGGGGGTGACCGGGGTCGCCGGCCGGGCCAGGGCTGGGCGGGGCCGGGGCCGCGGGGCGAGGCGCGCGTGGGGTCCTCCGGGGCTGGGGTCGGGGCTGGGGGCTGGGGCCGCCCGGCCGCGTCCTCCCCGCCCGGCGTCCTTGCGGGAGCGCGGCCCGGCCTCCGCGGCGGCGGCTGGGGGTGGGGCCGGGCCTGGGAGCGGCCGGCTGGGGCCCGGGGCCGGGGGCGGGGCGGGGCGGGGAGCGCTGGCTGTTCCTCGGCCTCCCGCCCTGGAGTCCGAAACCAGAAACGCGAGTGGCCGGCGGAGCGGGAGCGCGTGGCGGCGCCGCCGGGGGGCGGGGGGCGGGCCGCGGAGCGCCGTGTCCGGGGCTCCGGGGGGTGTCGGGCGTTCGCGGGCGAGCGGGCCGTGTTTCGTCGCAACGCCGCCCTGCCCTGCCCTGCGTGCGAGGACGTCGCGCGGTCGCCGCAGCTGAAGTTGGTGTCGCGCGTTTGCGTTGAAACTTGCCCCACTGAGGAAGGAGGTCAGTGGCGCGCGGAGCGTGAACTGCAAACCGGGTATTGGCTCGAAAGACGTGGCGCCAGCGCGTGTTTTGAAGGATGGATGTGCTGGTCGGATGTCAACTTCACTGCCAACTTCTGCTCGTCCGCGAGGCAGGAGACGGCCGCCGTGGGAGGACCGTGCCGGCGACGAAGGGCTGCCGCCTGCGAGCCCGGAGGCCTCCGCCTGTCCGGGAAGAGCAGGCGGAGCGGCGCTCTTGGTGGTCTCCATCGCTTTTATTCTGCTTTTCTTGAGACGGAGTTTTGCTTTTTGTCCAGGCTGGACTGCGATGGCACGATCTCGACTCACCGCCATCTCTGCCTCCCGGATTCGAGCTTTCGAGCAATTGTCCCGCCTCAGCCTCCCGAGTAGCTGGGATTACAGGCATGCACTTCCACGCCCAAGCTAGTTTTGTACTTGTAGTAGAGAGACAGAGGTTCTCCTTGTTGGTTAGGCTGGTCTGGAACTCCCGGCCTCAGGTGGTCCGCCGCCTCAGCCTCCGAAAGCGCTGGGATTACAGGTGGGAGCCACCGCGCCTGGCTCAACGTTTTTATTAATGTGAGTTGTGAGTTTTAGTTAAGGTTTATGACTGCAGTTTAAGTCTAATTACGGATTTAGTCGAAAAGTTAGACTGACCAAAGAAGGAAAGTAAGCAGACTTTAACCGTTAAAGCTTGGTTGCTCTGCTGCTCCATGATTAACTGCACTTTTCCAAATAATTTTGCGTATCAGAACGAATCATGGCTTCCGAAAGGAATTACACGCATCCACTTATTCCTCCGCCAGTCCACCCTCCCGCGTCCTCTCTGGGTTTACTCCAGATTTTTTTTTTTTCTCCTCCTTTGAGATGGGGTCTGCTCTGTTGCCCATGCTGGAATACAGTAGTGTGATCTCTGCTCAGTGCAACCTCCACCTCCAGGGTTGAAGCGATTCTCCTGCATAAGCCTCCCGAGTAGCTGGGATGACGGGTGCCCGCCACCATACCCGACTAATTTTTGTATTTTTAGAAGACACGGGGTTTCACCATGTTGGCCAGGCTGGTCTCGAACTCCTGGGCTCAAGTGATCTGCCTGCCTCTCAGCCTCCCAAAGTGCTGGGATTACAGGCGTGAGCCGCCGTGTCCCACAGACTCCACACTTCATTGTTTCCACTCTTGAGAGCCTTAAGCTTCCTTCGAGTTGGTACTTTCACATTTTTTCCTGCTTTTTGTGATAAAAGGATGAGTACTTTTTATGCACAGTTTAATGAGCTGTGCGTTTTTATGGATTATGTCGAATGTGAAATTTGGGAATTAAGTTGCCTTCAATTGGTACATGTGGAGCCTTGACAGGAAGTGGAAGAATAAAAGGTTGAGACGCTTTTGAAAAATGCCCAACTAGGCTCAGTCTGTGCTATGGAAGATGAGAAAGTTGGGAATTTCAGAGGGCAAAGCTTCTAAAGTATTTGAACGTCGGGCACGGAGGTTCATGCCTGTAATCCCAGCACTTCGGGAGGCCGAGGCTGGCAGATAACCTGAGGTCCGGAGTTTGAGATCAGCCTGACCAACATGGGGAAACCCCATCTCTACCCAAAATACGCATAGTTAGCAGAGTGTGGTGGCGTATACCTGTAATCCCAGCTACACGGGAGGCGGAGGTTGCCGTCAGCTGAGAGCGTGCGGTTGTGCTCCAGACCGGGCAACAAGAGCAGAACTCCGTCTCAAAAAACGAAAACGAACCAAAAAAATTGAGATGAGTTCAGAACCCTCTTCAAAACATCAGTGTTTAAAACTTTATTCTGGGTATGAAAGTGTTAGGTTTGGGAAGTAATTTTGGCTGTAGGGCAGTTTTTTTTGGAACACTGGGGAGTATTGTTGAATATTGTAAAGATTAAGATACGGTTATCGTATTACAGTGTGATACCCGAAACTGAGTGGCATAGGTTAGCTTTTGTTTTCAAGCAAGCCCAGTCTTGGACAGTTTCAAATGACAGTGGTACCCACCACCCCCATCAGTTTTCAAGGAAGATAACGCAAATCCAGGTTTGGCATGTGGGGTGGGATGGTCTGTTTGCACTTTTTTTTTTTTTTTTTTTTTTAAATACCGGGTTTCACCATGTTGGTCAGGCTGGTCTTGAACTCCCAACCTCAGGTGATCCGCCTGCCTTGGCCTCCAAAGTGCTTGGATTACAGGCGTGAGCCACCACCCCCGGCCCACTTTTTTTATTTTTGAGATGGAGTTTCGCTTTTGTTGCCCAGGCTGGAGTACAGTGGCACCATCTTGGCTCACTGCACCCTCCCCCTCCCAGGCTCAAGGGATTCTCCCACCTCAGCCTCCGGAGTAGCTGGGATTTACAGGCACCCGACATCACACCCGGCTAATTTTTGTGTTTGTGGTAGAGATGGGGTTTTACCATGTTGGCCAGGCTGGTCTCAAACTCCTGACCTCAGGTGATGCACCCCCCCTTGGCCTCCCAAAGTGCTGGGATTACAAGCGTGAGCCCCCGCTTCCAGCTGTCAATTTATTTTGTTATTTTAAAGATTATTTAACAGGAGGGCACTTTAAAACTTAGGCAGGTATTTTTAGTCATCCTGAACATGTCGCTGTGGACTGAGCATAACCCGCGTGACCGCACAGACAACACCTTACTGTGGTCAGCAGTAAAGGTCAGCTGCTATACTGGCTATTGCTTATGCGTATCTGTTGATGAGGAATAAGAGTATAATCAGTCTTTGTGAGTTGATGTTTTGACAGGATTTTTGCTTTTTAATATTTATTTGTATCCAGGTTAGACACTGGATTAACAGGAATTTTTAAAAACGTTCTTAGAACTTTTATTTTCTGGGAAATGATTGTTCAAAATCGGGTTTGTTTAAATTTGTCCAGGACACCACCTTGTGGTGAGAGGCGAGTAACTGCAGGCTTGTTAGCGAGTAAGAATAGTGGCAGGATTTGGCAAACGCTGCAGTTCCTTGATGAATAGGACTTGAGAATATCAAACTTAAAAAAATGAGGTTAGTCAGACGAAAAGCAAAGTTGGTGAAAACAAGAATACGTTAGAAACTGATGTAGGAATAGAAAAATCACGCCCACCTGGAGAAAGTGATTTCCTGGATAAGTCAACTAGGAAAAATGCGATGCTTTTCTTGTATTAATATTAATGAGGTGTTTTGTCAAACAAAATTCTTTGTGTTTTTGTATGGACATAAATCACTGTTGATCCGTTTCATGTTCCTGGAGATATCCTGGTTGAGAAGTGAGTTTTACTTATTTTTTTGAAATGGAGTCCTTGCTCTGTTGCTCAGGCTGAAATGAAGTGCGGTGGTTCGGTCTTGGCTCACTGCAAATTCCACTTCCCAGGTTCAAGCCATTCTCCTGCCTCAGGCTCCGAAATAGCTGAGATTACAGGCGTGAGCCACCGTGCCTGGCCGTTTTTTTTTTTTTTTTTTTTTTTTTTTGTACATGTGGAGTCTTCCTCTGCGCCCAGGTTGGTCTCAAACTCCTGGCCTCAAGTGCTTCTTCCCCCCTGGCCTGCCAAAGTGCTAGAATTAAAAGTGTGAGCCACGTGTCTGGCCAGATATTAGGATTCTTATGCTCTGTTGCAAAATCACTTGTCTTTCGAAGGGTAATTTACTAACACAGCATATGATTTTGCCCCCTTTGATATTTTTCTGCCTTTTGCCACCAAAGGCATTGAGTGTGTTTTGTATTTGTGTTGTGCACGTACACGTGCGTGCTCTAGTTGGTATGCTTGTGAACTGTGTACCAATAAATCTTACTCCTCTCTGCCACCTTGAGATGGCATATTCCTCTTGGTTGGGCTTTGACTCGGAGGTTCTTTGTGCTTATAGGAATGTCTAAAAGAGCAGAGTGGCTTTCTCAGGTGATCCACTCACTTCAGTCTCCCAAAGTGCTGGGATTACAGGTGTGAGCCACCCCGCCTGGCCCTATTTTATTATTATTATTTTTATAATATATTTTTTTGAGTTAGGGTTTTACTCTGTCACCCAGATTGGGTGATCTCAGATCACCCCATCCTCTGCCTCCTAGGCTCAAGTGATTCTCCTGCCTTATCCTCCTGGGTAGCCAGGATTACAGGTGTGCTCCACTACCCCCTAGCTAGTTTTTTTTATTTTTTATTTTGGGGTTTTGCTCTTGTTGCCCAGGCTGGAATGTAATGGTGCAATCTTGGCTCACTACAACCTCCGCCTCCCGGGTTCAAGCAGTTCTCCTGCCTCAGTCTCCTGAATAGCTGGGATTACAGGCATGCCACCGTGTCTGGCTAATTGTGCATTTTTACTAGAGACGGGGTTTCATCATGTTGGCCAGGCTGGTCTTGAACTCCTGACCTCAGATGATCCACTCGCCTCAATTTCCCAAAGTACTGGGA